GTATTTTTTTCGTTCTCACGACTTAATGTTCTCATGATCTAGACATAGCAAAAGTAGTTTTCCTGTTATCACAACTTAATTTTCTCGATCTCAACATAACAAAGGTTTTTTGTTATAACGACTTAATTTTCCTGTTATTTCAACATATGAAAAGTTTTCTTGTCATCACAACTTAATTTTTTCGTAATCTCAAAATAAGTTTTCTGGTTATTAGAACTTAATTTTCTTGATCTTGACATATCAAAAGTTGTTTTCTCATTATCAAAATTTTTATTTCTTGTAATCTTGACAAATCAAAAGTTCTTTTCTCGTTATTACAATTAAATTTTCTTGTGATCTCAACAAAAGTTTACTCATTATCACAACTTAATTTTCTCGATCTCGAAATATCACAAGTTGTTTTCTTGTTATCACAACTTAATTTTCTCGATCATAACATATCAAAAAATTTCTTGTTATAACAACTTAATTTTCCTATAATTTTAACATGTCAATAGTTGTTTTCTGGTTATCACAATTTTCTCATGATTTCGACATGTCAAAAGTAGTTCTTGTTATCACAACTTAATTTTCTTGATCTCGACATATCAAAAGTTGTTCTCGTTATCTCAATAAAATTTTCTTGTGATCTCAACAAAAGTTTTCTCTTTATCAGACCTTAATTTTTTCATGATCTCAACAAAAGTTTACTTGTTATCAGAACTTAATTTTCTCGTGATCTCAACAAAAGTTTTCTTGTTATCGCAACTTAATTTTCTCATTCTCGAAATATCAAAAGTTGTTTTCTTGTAATCACAACCTAATTTTCTGGATCATAACATATCAAAAGTTTTTTTTTATTACAACAACTTAATTTTCCTGTAATTTCAACATATTTCAATATTTCAAACACAAAGTTGTTTTCTTGTTATCACAACTTAGTTTTTTTCGTAATCTTTCTCGTTATAACGACCTTATTTTCTAAATCTCAACAGAATATTTTTCTCGTTATCAACTTAATTTTCTTATAAAAAGTAGTTTTCTTGTCATTTGTCGTCACAATTTGATTTTCCCGTAATCTCGACACATCAAAAGTAGTTTTCTCTTTATCTTGACTTAATTTTCTCGTTATCTCAACATATCAAAAGTTGTTTTTTCATTTTAACAACTTAATTTTCTTGTGATCTCGAAAAATCTAAAGTAGTTTTCTCATTATCTGTAAGTAATTATAAAGTTATGTTGCATATTCTTTCAATGACAAAGCAAACAACAAAACTCGCCATCTGATCCTAGTTAAGAAAGTTTTTTATTCTTTATTTATTTAGAACATTAGTACAGCATTAGTGATGTAAAAGCTTGCAGATTTACTGTATTAAACATGAAAAATACCTCAGTATCTCCCAAAACACACTTTGTTTTCATCAGATTTTGCTCGAAATGACTTCACTGCAATTCGTTTGAGCTTTATTAAATAAATGACATCTTAATGCGTCTTCAATTTTTTCAGAAGTGCTGGTAAACACAGGTGTGCGCTCTAATGCTGTCTGCCTGCCTTCTGATCTTTTAATCACAGCCAGTGAGAGTGTTATATAATAGAAACAGCTTGTAGTTGTTTGTGTGCGTCTGAGTGGATTAGGTGTGTGATTGAGCAGGGCAGGAGTCAGGAACACCACTTTCGGATGAGGCTCACATACGCTTGTGGATAAACGGATAAAAGAGAGAACAAGAAAAAGAACGAACTGTGTGTGTACCACCTTTCGAGCTTTCTAATTCAAATGAGCTTTATTGGCATGACTTGTCAAGTACTGCCGTAGCATTGCAGTTTATGTAAACCAATGAATGAAATAGAATAGTGCTTAAATAGTGCATATGTAAACCACCAACAATCATGAATCCATGATTATGTCCTGTCAAGAAATATCATTATAATGAAAGTCAAAGGGGCAAAACAGCCTCCAACACAACGAAAGGGTAGTAAAGTTGCCCGGAGTGTATTGTTGAATATATTCAATGCATTTATGGAAGGGAAACATCTTGCAATTTGTACTTTCGATCATCACTTGCAGTGCAAAAAAAAGCTTCTGGCTTAAAATTATAAGATCATATGGAGTGTGTGTGTGTGTGTAGACACCATAAATGAGTGTGTGAGAGAGACCTGTGCACACTTAAATTGTTGTTTCACAAAATAAAGAATAAAGAGCTCAATTCTCAGATCATAGTCAGCATAGTAAGGATATTTGTGCACACACTACAATTTGTTGTTTTACTCCAAAGAACTCCATATAAAAGTCGGAAAGTTGTACCTCTTTCCAACAGGGAAAACCACCAATAATTAAGAATGGATGATTATATGGTGTCATGTCTTTGCAATTAAAAAAATGTCATTTATAATGGAAGTCAATGGGGCAAAAACAGCCAACAACATAACAAACGGGTAGTACATTTGAACGGTACACAAGGCTTAAATTTATTAGACTATTAGGATTATTAAAAAGATCAAGAAAAAAAAAAAAAACAATATATTAACCATACAAAAAAATGGATGTGGCTCACATATGGTTGTAAAAGGAGAGAAACGGATAGAGAATAGATTGTGTGCACCACGTCTCTCCCTCTCTCTCTCTCTGCCGAGCGATGATGTCATAAAGCTTTTGGCTCCTCTCTGGCTGTTCAAATCTGTGTTGAGCATTTCCAGGGAAACGGTGATGCTTGTTTATCAACCGTTGGCAAGGTCAGTTACTCCTCAGGCCGAAGGAATGATGCAAGAAAGAGTGGTGTTTTCAAATCAAGGAAGAAAGGGGAGGATTTGTTTGTTTTCGTGTACAAGGCAGCGAATGTGTTCCTAAAAAAAAAAAAAAAAAAAAAAAAAAAGCAGATTAACAACGTGTTTCTACTCCAAATAGTGCTTTAGGTTTTGTCTTGTCTGTGGCTGGTAAATTCCTCCTTCAGAGTTCAGTCCTTTACATTGTATTACATATTAAATAATTGGTGAGATCAGTGGAATATATGAACGTATTATAAATTATATAAAATACACCCTGAAACTTCAAATTATTTTTTAAATAAATTAACGCAAAAATTTGACCTTTTCCCCCCCTTTTTTCCCCATTCATTTACTGTAAAACAGATTTTATTGGACTGTCTTACTTTTAATGACTACATTTTTTTTAAACAAATCTTAAAGAGATATTCAGAAACTTTTTTTTTTCATGTTTGTATCATGTGTGAATGGTAAAAATGTTGCCTAATTTAGCTTGTGTTTGTTTCTGGTTTTTATTGTGTTTATTTGTAACATTGTTTTTGGCATAATAAATGTCTGTTCCTGACATATTGGACATTTAAGACTGACTCATGATTTTTGCTTAAAGGTGAAGACTCTATTTAGTGTTTGTACAGCAGTTTTCCTCTTACTGTAAAACAGATTTTATTAGACTGTCCTGCTTTTAATGACTGCAGTTTTTTTTTTATGAACTAAACTCTTGTAAAGAGATGTTGAGCTAAGGTTTTTTACATTTCATATCATATATTAATGGTAAAAAGCGTCTAATTTAGCTTGTTTATTTGTTTGTGGTTTTTATTGTATTTTTTTGTTCTGAATTCATGAAAATAACCCTTGTTGCTGACATTGCATTAAATAAAAATGTTCCAATATGATACAATGCAATACAATATGCTACAGTCTGATAAATGAAATGGTATATGATTTGATTTATGATAGGATATAATATATGATATGATACGATGTATATTATACGATACAATATAATACAATACATATGATGTATGATATGATACGATATATCATGATATAATACTATATGATTTGATATTTGATACAATATAATATAAGATGCATATGATAAGATACATATGATATGTTTTGATACGATACAATGAGATATGATACAATATGATTCAATACATATAATGTATGATACGAAATATAAGTTGATATATGATACAATACGATATGAGATATGATATATGATAAGATTTGGTGTATATGATATGATACAATACATATGATGTATGATAAGATTCATCAGGGATCACCAATCTCGGTCCTGGAGGGCCGGGTGTCCCTGCAGGGTTTAGCTTCATCTTTCCTCAGCACACCTGCCTGATTGTTTCAAGTATACCTAGAAAGACCTTGATTAGCTTGTTCAGGTGTGTTTGATTAGGGTTAGAGCCAGTATCTGCAGGACTCCAGAAACGAGTTTGGTGATCCCTGAGATACATGATATGTTATGATTTATGATTTGAAATATATGATACGATATGAGATATGATATATTATATGATATGAGACTATACATGATATGATTTGATATATGATACGATATGATACTATACGATACGGTATGTCTCCACTGGCTTGCTTGGTTTGGGACATGTGGAGCTGTGCATTGATGAATTTGCTCTGCAGTGTTTAGACTTTCAGCTGTGAAATTTAAACCACACTTAACCAAACTGAACTTCAACTCTGAAGACTGGACTAACAGAGTTTCAATTTAATTTAATTTATCACAATTTGTGATACAATACATAATACGATACTATATCGTATTTGATATATGATGTGATACGATGATACATATGATATAAAGTACTATACATGATATGATATGATACAATACATGCTATATGATATTATACAATACGTGATATGATATACTATTTGATACCTTATAATACAAGTATCAGAAAGAGCTTTAACAGGCATGTTTACAAATATGGCAAAATTGTTTTCGCAACAGAATTTCCCACAGTGCAACAGAATGACAGTGGCAGGACAAAAAAAAGAAAATTGAGAATAAAAATATACAAATTGACAAAATGTATGTACATGTATATACATGTAGTATTGTATGTACAGATATATTATGTGCCAATTAAAATGTTAACGAAGAATGTTAAGTAATTAAGTGTATGTTTGTGTGTAAACTGTGCAAATTTTAAATCGTTTGATTTGACATGACCATGACTCAACTAACCCAACTTTCTCCTTTATTTTCCACCAGAATGAAGAGTAAAAATCCGCCGCTGCTTCAAGAATCAACGCTCAAAATCTCCTCCCCAATTCACTGCAAGCCGGACCTCAGAAAACTGGACCTCGATAAACTCACTAACCTCATTTTTGCAGGACGCTACCAAAACCATATGGACAAAACAGACCTCAAAACATCACATATCCGGACCTCACAAAATGCTGGATTTCACCAACCATAAATCTCCCTCAGCTGGACTTTCACTGTGTTCTTCACCTACTCAGATATTACTGTTACAGACTCGGTACAAATCCATTTCTACTATGGTAAAATGCACAGGTACAGGGCAGTATGATGGCAATAGTCTTTCAAACAATGGTGCATTAATATTTATGTATATGATGGTACTTTTTTTTTCCTTTAAGTACCCAACGTACGACAGATGTTTTTGGTACAGGGATGCTCAATGAAGCAGCCATATTGTGTCGGGTTTTTGTCGATTGTAACGGTTTTTTTCAGTACTGCCAGATTACACTTACAACTCAGTTTCTGCACCCAGTACGAATGACCTCAAACACCTAGACTTGACCTCAGGACTTTATGAAAGAGTTTACACACATATACACACACGCACACACACACACACACACACACACACACACACATACATACATACATACATACATACAAACATACACACTGTGTTTCAGCACTGTGAGCCGTTACTGACCTCATGCTGCCAAACACACACTGTGATGTCTGTCAAACTATTATTTTTTTTTATGCTTGGTCATGTTACATCCCGCTAAATTGTAATAATAAGCAGGAGTGGAGTTTATACGGACTCTCAGAGGGCCTCAGACCATTTTTATTTTTTTTTTAGCTAATATTATTGTTTTATTTAAATGTTTTTATTTAAGTATCAGTTCATGAACACAACATTTTGGTACTATTACATTTTTATTTTTTTTATTTTTAACTTTCGCTTTTTAATTTTCTAATTTTATTTTAATTATGTTTTTCATAATTAGAGATCCACATTTTGGTACTACACATTTAAATTGACTTTTAATAATTAATTTAATCATTTGTAAAGAATTTTCTTTATTCTATTATTAAACGTTTATATTTTAATGCAAAATCTGCCATATAATTGTAATAGATCTCTAAAAGAGTGTATACTGACTTCCAAACCAAACATTTCCACTTTTTTTCCCCCTGAAATTTTCATTTAAGCTTACTAAATTACAAGAATTAGTATATATGTATTAGGCGTGGGGTAGGGCTGTGTGATTTAATCGAATTCGAATCACCATCGCAGTATGAAACATTGCGATTAGCTAATCGGCATTAATAGACAAATTCATATCAAAAGAAAAACAACATGCCGATAATAATATGGGCATATTTTGGTTTCAAAGTCACAGACACCGAACAAAAACAGGTCATTTGTAAGAGCTGTCATAGAATGGTTGCTACAGCATGAGGAAGTACAACAACCAACACTGGAAAAAAAAAAAAAACACCACGGGCGGCTATATGAGCGTCCTGCTAAAATGTCAACTAAAAGTATTGCTAATGACAGTCAAGCTAGTAGCTATCAACAGCAAAGTACAATTTTAGAGTTGTTTGCAGCTGTTATACCATGTGAAAAAACATCACAAAGGAGATAACTAACGCCAAAACTCAACTGTTAGCTCTAGAGAAAACTGAGTGTTTAATTTCTCAATATTTATAAACAAATTTGAATAAAAGTTGGAGTAGGTTAATATATTTCCAGTTCCTTTTTTAACTAACACCCACTGCAGTTTAGCAGTAAGAAGCTACGATATAAAATATTGAGCTGAAGCTTAACTACAAAATTAAATCGCAATATCTTTTAAGAAAACCGCAATTAGATATTTTCCATAAATCTCTAATTGATTTGAATTTCCATAAAAACCTAGGGATGGGCCTGTATAAGTTTCTGACAGTATAATCACCTTGGATAAAAGTGTCATGGTTTCACAGTATTGTGATTACTGCTTTAAAATATGGTCTTTTTAAATGTCTGGGTATAAACAACCATGTTTTCTCCCATTAAACATGTTGTATTTTTATTTTAGGAAATCTTTATAATATTTTGGAAGAGTTAACATGTCAGGCCAAATAGTTTAAATAAATCATAGACTTCTGCTGTCTTAATTAGATTCAATAACACAGATTTCTCTACAACACAAATAAAAAAAAAACCCTTACATTTATCTTAAAAATGGTATAACAAAATTTTAGTGATTTTAAAACCTTGACTTGACCTTGAAACCGGTTATCGTCCCATGCCTAACATGTATATTAAGTGTTAAAATAAAAAAATATATTAAAATTAACTCAAACTATTTAAGTTCAAAAACTTAATTTTTTGCAATTTGAGCACAGTAAAACCCAATAAATGAAGAGAACTTAAACCAAATGAGTACTGTAATACCCAGTAAGTTAAGGCAACTCAAACCGTTTGAGGATTTTGAGTTTGAGGATTGCTACAAACCATTTGAGTTGAAAAACTAATCTATATGAGTTCTGTCAACTTACTCCATTGAAGCTGAAGTAATGAGGTATTTAATTACTAAATTTAAATAGATCATAGACTTCTGCTGTCTTCATTAGTTTCATCAACACAGAATTCTTTACAACACAAATAAAAAACCCTTACATCACCTTAGGAACGGTATAAAAATTTTTTAGTGATTTTAAAACCTTGACTTGATCTTGAAACCGGTTATCGTCCCATGCCTAATATGTAGATTAAGTGTATACATATAATATATATGTCGGCTTCATCATTGAACTCCATCTAAAATTAACACAACCATTTCTCACAGTCGTGCTTACAACAGATTGAATTGTTCATCATAATCCAACTTGGCAACTATCAACAGAGTTGAGATTTTGTGGATGAGAGGAGGACTATTTTTTTTGAACGATTATTATTATTGTGCTAACTTTTCAAGCGCATAAGAGGCCTTATAGCTCTGGTTGGGCTAAAAATAAAGCTCAAGCAACTACAATTATTGATGTGTAATTCCAACCTGATCTCACGAGGAAATGTAATTATTTTACATTTTGTCAGTTTAATGGCTAATTCGTACGAGTTGAGATGTACGAAAATGTACGATTTAAAAAAAAAGGCGTGGCGCCCAACCCTGCCCCTAAACCCAGCTGTCACTGGGTGATGAGCAAATCATACTAAGTTGTACGAATTAGATCATATGAATTCATACGAATTAGCCACTAAATCAAAAAGTTACAAATTGCCTTGAGATTGCGTTAGGAATTCCCATAACTGAACTACTTTTTTTGATCACAGTGTATCACCAATAGTTGGTCAAACCGAACAAAAGCTTGCATAGTTACATATGATAAAAGAACATCTGAAAGCAAGCGGATTTTCGCAGGCAGCAGTTCGTTTTTTTCTGCTGTTAAGCCTTGGAAGCCAGTCAAAGGTGTTCTCAACCTTTATTTAGGCTGTTTAATTTCCTCACGGATGTTACTTTGATTTCATACGGTTTATTTTTTGCTTAAAAGAACTCTTGCTGTGGCGATGATGGTACGGTCCCAGCAACAGGTGTACAATGTCTGTCATGTTTGCTGCTGAAATGAAACAAACAATGAACAATCTGTAAATTATTGAATATATAGAAATGTTGTTCTTGGTTCTCTTTTAAGAGTATTTAACATTTCACGGTTGGTGTTTCATTATCCTTTTTGTTTTGCCTTTAGATTATCGACACGTATTTTTGAAATGTGTCAACTCTTTTTAAAGTTTTTGTGGGGAGTATTTTCCTTTATAGCAGAAAATCGATGTATAATCCAATATTTCGGAGAGAATGGTACGTTTCCTTAATTATTTTTAGATACAAAAATGCTTATTAATGAAAACCTGCACATCAGGGACGTCCCCTCTCAAATGGAATCGCTTTTGGGAAGCTGTTACAGTTTCTCCGAGCTCTGATTGGCTGACACAGCGGTGCTCCAGTAACCTGATAGGCTGCTCTGTCATATGATAGGTCGCAGTTGTGGATTTAGCACCCTGCAGTGATACAGGGTGTGGGGCATCACTCCTGCAACACCTCATTTGTAAATAATGTATTGTACAAAAGAAAACCCGTGATTGGTGGATATTGGACTGCGTGGTGCTCAATGCAAGCAGACTGACTGGTTGTCTCGAACGAATGAATGAATGGAAACGTGTAAACAATATGAGTGTATGTACAGATGAGTGGATGTATGCACATGTAAACAAATATGTCTGTTTTAATGAATGAATGAAATGAGCAGCAGTAAGGAGAGGGCTTCCTCGCCACCCCTATTTTAGAAGAATGGTGTCTTCTGGATCCTTGACGTGTAATAAAGTAGAAGCGCTTATCTTTTCTGAACTTCTCGTTTCCTGTGTTCTTTTATTAGCTTTGTTTAACGCTCACAACAACACAAGAGACTAGACTTAGCTGAATGTCACATGAACAGACAAGAGAAAGTGGTAGAAAAGTATGTAGAATTAGAATTAGGGGTCCTAATTGGCATATCCCTTATGCAACTACAGTTCTACTAGAAATGCCATGGTTAATATGTGGTTCCCTTGCCACTGGTAACCACAAATGAACTATGGTTTTGCAAATCTAACCACACACTGTAAAACCCAATAGTTAAGGTAACTCAAATAGTTTGTTGAAATCGGTTTCCTCAAATGGTTTAAGTTCAAAAACTAATGAGTACTGTGAACTTAATCCATTTGAGTAAACAAAGCATTTTGAGCACTTTAAAACCCAAAAAATGAAGAGAACTCAAAATAACTGAGTACTGTAAAAGCCAATAAGTTAAGGCAACTCAAACTGTTTGAGGAAACCGATTGCTACAAACCCTGTGAGTTAAAAAAATAATCTATATAAGTACTGTCAACTTGCCCCGTTCAAGTAATGAGGTATTTAATTAACTCATTACCTTCAACACTGAGTTCAAAACTCTTTTCAAATGAGTAGAATTAGCTTTCAGTAGATTTTGAGTTGACTACACTCATTTCATTTGATAAAGTTGACTGTTGAGCTTTACAGTGCAGTTTAAACATGGTATTTGTAATAAAACTGTTGAGTATTACAGTAATGATATTACTGGTGATCGGTGTTGGGGGTAATACATTACAAGTAATGCGAGTTAAGTAATGACATTACTTTTCTAAGTAACGAGTAAAGTAACATCACCATAAAAAATAAGTAATATTAGACTTTTTTTTTTAAATAATTAATTAGCTTTAGAAAAATAAATTGCTGAATTAAAATTAAAGTAGTCACAATGAATCATGCAGTCAATGAGAGAATGTGCTAGTTATTTTGAACACATTGAAGAAGAGAAAAAGGGGATTGTCTCAACAAACAGGGGTTTTACTCAAGACAATTTTACGGTCTATGCTCAAGACAAATAGTACAAATCTAGCAAACACATTGCTTTAAACTTAAATAATTTGTATATACGGCATGTATAGTTCTGGGGTCAGGAAGTTCTTAGATAATTCATTCATTTTATTTTTGGCTTATTAGTCTCTTCATTAATCAGCGGTCGCCACAGAAGAATGAACCACCAACTTCCAGCATATGTTTTAAGCATTGGATGCTTTTCCAGCTGCAACCCATCACTGGTAAACATCCATACACACACATTTACACATATGCACTACAGACAATTTAGCTAATCCAATTCACCTATAGCGCATGTCTTCGGACTGTGGGGGAAACCGGAGGACCTGGCGGAAACCCAGGGAGAACATGCAATCTCCACACTGAAATGCCAACTGAGTCAGCCGAGCCTCGAACTAGCAACCTTGCTGCGAGGCGGTTGCTTCCCAGATATTATCCTAAAATATTATTTTTTATGTGTTTTTTTAAATACAGTATTAATTGGGGGTGGGGGACTCAATATTGTAATGCACTACTTCAAAAGTAACGAATATATATATATTCCATATATATATATATATATATATATATATATATATATATATATATATATATATATATATATATATATATATATATATGTAATATTTTCCTAGAGAAATGCTATTTTATGGTCATATCAAATTAATTGATACTATTGACCTTCAATGCGGAAGTCGCTCGTTTTTGTGGTTGTTTTAGAACTTCCGATTCAGTTGCTTATGCTTATGAGAGAAATGAAACTGCAGAAAACGGTCAAACTACTTGCTCTACAAACAAGTGATTGCATGACAAACAAGAAAAAAATAATATAATAATAAAATATCAGTTTGCAACAACAAGCAGCAAAACGAGCTGTTTCACCGTGTAAAAAATGAATGGAAGTGAATGAGACCGGAAGTCTCGAGCCAAAAAGATTGAAATGGCTGCGGCCGCTCATACGCGAAGTAAGGTGAATAGATCTCACAAATGCAAACATTTTGATTTTAAAACCATTTGAATGACTGAACACCTCATCAGACATTTTCTAATATCCAGCATTGGTATTTATGGTTTAGCTTTAGGTAGGTACACTTTTAGCCAGGGCTGCTTTAGCCAGTAGCAGAAGAGCACCTACTTGGGAGGCGGGTATAAAGATAGTAAGGCCACATTTGATTGAGCAATTTTGGGTAACCAATCGAGTAAGGTGAATGTTAAACCAATCTAACGTATGCACAACTTGGAGAATACTTGGCACATTATTTATGTATAACATTTTATTTATCGCGCCTCCCTGCGATTCAGATATGCATATTTTATCACGATAAGGGTCATTTTCGATGAATATTCAGGTATGATTCAGGTATGTTACATAATTGTTTTATAATACTTCGAGATTAAGATGTAAAAGTTTGTGGAGATATAATTATACGAGCAAAAGTATTGTATATTAGATTGTGTTGTAAGTTATTAGGGCTGCCATTGTAACGGTTAACTTATCTCCAGCGTGTGCTTTCAAATGGAGGACTTGGTGTTAGGCTATTTAACATTACTACACGCAGCCAAAATTTGTTTATTCGGACGATAATGGCGTCAAGTTCTGTGTGAGGTTACTTCTGTGAATACAGCAGCCAGTTTACACTGAGTTAAAGTTGGTTTTATATTCGCAGGTTCGTTCATTGACAACTTGAAACATGCAGGGAGCCATGATACTGGAAATATTTAACCTTAAATCACATGGAAGTAACGTTATGACTTATTTAACGTTAGCACTATTTATTTGACTATGAATATAGTTGTACTTTGATCATATGATTTCACTATTTGGAATTTGCAAAAAAAAAATACTTTTGTGAAATTGTATTATTAAGTCTGAATGTGCAAATATAAAACCAGCTTAATTTCAATCCAGTTTGCTTAAATTAGCTTCTTAATTACGGAATCACGGCTATGTGTAGTAAATGCTAACTAAACGTCGAAATGTCACTTATAAACTGTGCATTTAATCAATTCACTTCGCAACTAAAGTCGAGTGTTTGATAGTAATCCTTCTGTAAAATAATTCTAGTCATTATGAAAGTCAAAGTCAGCTTTATTGTCAATTCAATCACATGTACAGGACAGAATCAAAACTAAGTTACTCTCAGACCCTGTAGGTGCCTATAAAATTAAAGAGTTTTTAGAAATAATTTACAATAAATACAATTATACATAAAATGTAATCTAAAATATACATAAAATGTAGTCTAGAAATATACATAAAGAATAAAAATTTGTAAACAATACAATGTACAGTAAGGGCATATGGCAATGAGTGCAAACCAGAGTTGTGCAGATATAAAACAGTGTATATTGCAAAAAGGCTTGTAAACATGATAATTATGATAAAGTGACAGTGTCACAATATATAGAGATAATTCAATAAAAATAAAGGGATAGTTCACCTAAAATGATTATGTAACCTACTCATTATTTATCCTCAAGGTGTTCCAAACCTTTCCCAGTACTGGGTTGCATCTGCGAGGCTATCCGCTGTGCATGCTGGATAAGTTGGTGGTTCATTACCCTGTGGCGACCCCTGATGAATAAAGGGACTGAGCCGAAGGAAAATGAATAAATATATTACAAAATATCCGGCATGGATAAGTCCAGTATAGCAAAGATAAACATGAATGATAGATTTTCTGAACAGTATTCAGGTACAGCATGACGCGGTGGCGCAGTAGGTAGTGCTTTCGTCTCACAGCAAGAAGATCGCTGGTTCAAGCCTCGGGTGGGTCAGGTGGCATTTCTGTGTGGAGTTTGCATGTTCTCCCCGCTTTCGTTTGGGTTTTCCCCCACAAGCTCAAAGACATGCGCTGTATGTGGATTGGGTAAGATAAATTGTCCACAGTGTATGAGTGTGAATGGATGTTTCCCAGTGATGGGTTGCAGCTGGAAGGGCATCCGCTGCGTAAAAACGTGCTGGATAAGTTGGCGGTTCATCACGCTGTGGGACTCATGATTAATAAAGGTACTAAGCCGAAAAGAAAAAAAAAAAGAATGAATATTCAGGTACAGATAAAGTTACAAACCTTATTATTTCTAGTGGCCGAATGTTTACTCTAAAAATCTAAAATGTTGAACAGAATCTAAAATGTTGGGATAGTTCACCCAAAAAAAAAATTTACTCACCCTTCACTTGTTTCAAACATTTATTTATCATATATTTATAAAAATATCTTCTTTTTTTAAACAAGTGAAGGGTGAAACTAACCATAAACTTGTAAACAATGGCGCATGTTTAATTTGTCTGAGTATTATAATGGACAGATCTATCTCTGAATTAGCATTGTGTGTGTTCTAGTGTGGCTGGACGGTTGAATTGAGTCATTAGCATCTGTTTTTAGTGCTATGTTTTTTTTTTTTTTACCTGTATGTCTGTCCTCTTGTTGTGCTTTATTGTCCTGCCTTTTATTTCCATAGAGTCAGGTACTAAACAGGAGAGTCTGGAATTACAGCATGTAGACTGGACTCTAGAGGCCTCGACATATGGAAAGTCTTTCAGAATGTGGAGAGGGAAAGAATGACATGAGTTGTACCTCATCAATGGAGTTCACACAGACATTCCTTCAGCGGGAGCTCAGAGACGACCAGCAGCAAACAAAAGATCCCCTTACCCTGTCTGTGTGTGTGTACGGGGTCAATGGCGTGGGATGTGAGACAACCCAGGTAGATTCAAATTTGTTAGATTTTCTGTTTCTCCCAGATTCTCTGTTACATCGTTTTGTTTTCAATTTTATTCATTACAGTACAATTACTTTTTACAGTTTTACAACTAACACAATTGCATTTGAAGCACTCTGTTGCTTTATTACTTTAAGAAGTACATTCTAAAGTACATTCATTCACTCATTCATTTATTCATTCATTTTCCTTCGGCTTAATCCCTCATTTATCAGGGGTCGCCACAGCGGAATGAACCGACAACT